CCCCCCCAACTCCTTTTCCATTTGTTAAAACTCAGCATGTCACCAACCCTGAATGCTTTCTCTAATCCTGTCACCCACCATAACATTGATGGGACGGGACCCCAAATTACTGTATCAAAAAACACTAACAGAGACAGTAAAAAGGAAATCAACACTTGGGGAGATAATAATTTGGCCTGGTGAAGAGTGTCAAGTAAGATCACCCCAGATCTGATACAGGTACACAGGCTTTGGTCGGTCTTTGTTTTTTTTTTTTTTTAATTTTTATTTATTTTTTCTTTTTTTATTAGTGAAACACCATGAGGTACAGTTATAGGCTTACAAATTTTGTGCTTGGGTTTCAGTTATACAATGATCAAGTGCCCATCCCTCCACCAGTGCCCGTCATCCATCACCACGGGTCCCAGCATCCCCCCCAACCCCCATCCCCCTGGTCCCATCCTGCCTCTGTGGCAGGGTATTCCCCCTTGTTCTCTCTTCTTTTGGGTACTGTGTTTTGCAAGAGAGGCATTTGGTCGGTCTTTGAATCAAAGATGCAAATGATGCAGAAGGAGCTAACTTTCCATTTCTGCAGCTCTCTGTGTTCCAAACCAGGGGCTCAACACTTACCTCACCTTTTACCACAGCTATCTGTGTCCTCTGCATGAGTTTCCCTCCCCGCCTCGAGCAGAGCCCCGGCAGCCAATGACCTCCAGAACCAGTCACAGCCATGCTGAGACCACTCTCCACACGAATGAAGGTACCGGCAGAGGAACAAAGGCATGCGGGTCCCGGGCCTGAGATCTCCAAGCCTGCTCGGATTGGGGCTGAGCATCCTCCACCCAGATCCTCCATCTTTCAGTAGGGGTCACACCCACCAACTGCCACCCCCCACCCCCTCCCCCCGCGCTGTGTAATCCCATCAGTGACCAAGACCCAGAGACTATAAAACCCAGCTCCCAGAATCGCGGGGCTGCATTTGCGACCGGGTGACATCTTATTATCTCATTCTTGCTTTGGACAACCTGGCAGGCTACTGAATGTAACCTGCCCACACGGCAGTCTGGCAAACTCCTCGTGGTGCACCCAATATGCCAAATACCAGTAACAATGATGGGTCTCATTCTCCTAACCCTGAAAGAGCCTTGAATATGGCACTTTTTAAAATCTCAGGGCTAGGACGAAGGAGACGTTACTGGTGCCTGCTCGAGGCAATCGACAGGATGATTGTGATCGTGATCTGTGTCCTCATCACCTCCAAGTTAGGTTCTCTCCGATTTCTCTACAGAATGTTCTACTCTACAGAATCCTGAATGGTTCCTCATTCTCTACACAAAAATTCAACCTCCTTAAAGAGGAGTCAGCAGGCTCTCTCTCCCCCACCCCCCAAATCAGGCTCCAACCTAACACTGCAACCTCTACCACTGCTCCAGTGTTTAGATAATCTGCACTTCAAACAACAACTCTCTCCACCAGCCCCCTTCACTGTAACTTTCTGCCACTTGACCCCTCCCCCCTACCTCCTCACACAACTGCTTCCTGCAGTGCTGGAATTCTCTCTCTCTCTCTCTCTCTCTCTCTCTCTCTCTCTCTCTCTCTCTCTCTCTCTCTCTCCTGCTTGAGCCCGTCCCACTTTCCAGCTGCTGCATTTCCTGATGATTCCCACAGCTGACATACAACCTTGGATTTAGACCTTTTCAAAGTTTAGAGAACACTGACACATTTCATCCTCATAGCAGCTCTTGCTTTTAAAAACTCAGCCCAAGTACTTTGCTAAGATCACATATAAAAACAAGGGTTTTTAACGAAGCTCTTTAAATTACATATACTCTGGACCCTGTACCAATACCATGTCCAGATGCTACCAGCAGCAACCTCTATTCCCTGGGGCCAGAGGCAGAGACAACAGAGATGGGATATCAATGGGCAGGGCACTTGCTTTGCTAATGGCTGAGCTGGGTTCAATTCCAGCACCCCATAAGGTCCCCTGAACACTGCCAGGAGTGATCCTTCAGTGCAAAGCCAGGGTAAGCCCTGAACATAGCCTGGTGTGGCCAAAAAAACAGAACAAAATAAACTCAAAAAGCTCTACTTCCTGTGCTCACAGGAAAAAAATTTAGACACCATATACTTTTTTTTTTTTGGGTCACACCCGGCAATGCTCAGGGGTTACTCCTGGCTCATGCACTCAGGAATTGCTCCTGGCGGTGCTCAGGGGACCATATGGGGTGCTGGGAATCGAACCTGTGTCGGTCATGTTGGCTGCGTGCAAGGCAAACGCCCTACCCGCTGTGCTATCACTCCAGCCCCTAGACACCATATAATTTTAATAGCACGTTAACTCTAACTTCATCCTATGTATGTTTAATTAAGGTAAGTTGTCAGGAGGCACTCCATCTTAAATCACCTTAAAACAACAACAGCAACAAAAACAAACAACTCCACCATTGGACCACACTAAAATCTGCTGCAATCTGAAAATGACAAGGCCTCCATCTAGGTCTAAGGAAATGATTCAGTCACTATCTCAAGTGAATATGCCAAAGCCACTGTGTGGGTGACGAGCATGTTTCTCAAATCTCATCTGGAAATGCTGGGATCATCTGAGAGAAGACAGCATCTCTGGGACAAATGTGGTGGTCCAGTTAGCACCCCTGCCAAGAGCACAGCAGACAACAAGCACCCTCGGTCCTGACATTTTCTCTGCAGGCCCACTTTTGGGGAGTCTTCCTCTCCTCCTTCAACCAACTTCTGCTCTCTGCCAGTTTGAAAGCTTGGGTTCAGTATACTGTTTTTGACATCAGTGAACAAGAACCTGGGAACACACTTGGTCACACAGTAGAGACCCACTCCCACATCAGAGGGACCTCATTTTATTCATTTCGGAATCCCCCAAACGTAACATGTTCTTTGCCTCCAGCAGGGAGTCTGCCATCGGGCTGAAATGAATTCATTCTAGTTTTTCACCCTGCTTCAGGTCAAGTTCCAGAGTTCGTACCAGAGGCAGAAGCTGGCTCAGTGGGGCTGGGTACACACAGCATGCACAGCTCCTCTGGGGCAGGTTACTCAAGAGTCCTGGGCTGGATTCACTGTCAAATGGAAACAGCAACCAGGCCTTTCCCATAGGGTTGTTGTGAGGATTAAACTAGAGATGTTTTGTTTTTGCCTTTTGTTCTTGGTGGTGCTCAGGGCTTACTCTGTGCTCAGGAGTCACTCCTGGTGCAGACTGGGGTCCAGACAGGATGCTGGGGGCTGAATTTGGGGGGCAACAAGCAAGGCAAGAACACTGCCTGCTGTACTGTGGCTCCAGCCCCCAAGGAAGTAACATTTTTAAAACACCAACTCCAGCCTCATACACTCAACAGGCACCAGCTATTGTGTTTATTTATGTCCCCACATGGTACTACAAAGACTTGATCCGAGGGAAAAAATGAATCACTAAAAATAGTAACTGGATTGGAGATATGGCTCCTGGTTAAGTACAAGCTTTGGGGGCTAGAGCAATAGTACAGCGGGTAGGGCGTCTGCCTTGCACGCAGCCAACCGGGGTTCGATTCCCAGCACCCCATATGGGCCCCTGAGCACCGCCAGGGGTAATTCCTGAGTGCAAAGCCAGGAGTAACTCCTATGCATTGCCAGGTGTGACCCAAAAAAAGAACAAATTTTGTATGCATGAGACCTGGGCTTCATTCCCCCAGCACCACAATTCAAATAAACAAATAGTAACTCCAAATTACCAAGAAAAAAATATATATATAATAAAATGATTCAGACCTCCCTGAAAAAAAATTTTTTATTAAATAACCCAGTACATAAAAATCCCCAACTATCCGAAAAGTGAAGGCATGCAAATGAGCTGAGTGTGAAAGAAAATAAATAAATGTATTCACCTACATCTTGCACTCGAAATTTTCCTAATCTAGTAAACACCAGGTGCGAGAGCTCCAAGGCCTTAGCAGTGAGAAGCTTCTAATTGCGTCCTAAAGGCGAAGAGCAAGTCATCAGCTCTCGTATGTATCAAGTAAACGTTCTGTCACTGTGGAATTTAGACAGCAACATCCCCGCGTGGCCTGCCGACGCCCAGGCGTTCCTCCACTGCCCTCTGGACTGACACCTAGGCAGGAGGGCAGGAGGCCGTCTTGGGGTCGTCCAGGGGCTCCTCGAAAGGACCCAGGCGCGGCTACGCTTCCTGCGCATCTCAGCGCCACGACTCCGTCATCCCTCCGGGGGTTCGAGCCCCAGGAAGGGAGAAGTCAGGCCAGGCGCAACTTAGAAAAAAAAAAAAAAAGGGTCCAGCAAAAGCAAAGTTCTGGGCGCGGTTGAACAGCCGCGAACAAACCAGCCAGGGCGGTTGCAGAAAGGAGGCCCCGGGCTGGGAGGAGCCGGCGGGGCAGCGACCTTCGACCCTGGGCAGGGCCACGCACACAGCGGACCGCGCTGGCCCCGGAGCAGTCGCCACAGCCCCCAAGGGTCGCGGGGTCAGCAAGGACCCGCACGTGGCCGCGCCCAGACTCCCCTGGATGCCCCCGCGAGTCCCTGCAGCCGGCCGGGCCGGGCCGGGCTATGCCCATCGGGCCGGGCTATGCCCACCGGGCCGGGCGGTGCCCCCGCGAGTTCCCGCAGCCGGGCCGGATAGGGCCAGGCCGGGCGGGGCGCTGCCCACCGGGCCGGGCGGAGCCCCCGCGAGTCCCTGCAGCCGGGCCGAGCCGGGCCGGGCTATGCCCACTGGGCCGGGCTATGCCCACCGGGCCGGGCGGTGCCCTGCGAGTCCCTGCAGCCGGACCCGGCCGGGCCGGGTCGGGCTATGCTCATCGGGTTCGGCAGCCCGGACCACACCAGGCTATGACCCCCCGGGTCTGGCTATGCCCCCCGGGCCAGGCGGTGCCCCCCGGGCGAGCCTATGACCCCGGGCCAGGCAGCCTGAACCGGGCCAGGCGGTGCCCCCGGGCCAGGCTATGCTCCCCGGGCCATGCGGTGCCCACGCGAGTCCCTGCAGCCGGGCCGGGCCTGGCGGCGCCCACCTTGGTGCTGGGGTCCGGCTCCGAGCAGCATCCGAGGGCCGCCTGGTCGCTGAGGCCGCCGGAGGGGGCCTGCGGCTCCGCCATGGCTCCCTGCAGGTCACGGACACGGCACCGAGTGGCCACTGTCCCGCCGCGGGCGGCCCGGGAGTCGTGGGGCGGGCCGCGGCACTTCCAGCCAATCGCGGCGCGCGGACCGGGGCGGCTCCTCGCTCATTGGCCCGCGGGCCAGAGCGCGCCCCGCCCCCCGACTACAACTCCCAGGGTGCTCGGCCGAGGGCGGGCGCGCCCGGTCGCGCCGCGGGGGTCCCCCCGCCGACCGCTGCCTTGCCTGCCCCGCCCAGGGACTGTTTCTGTACTTCTCACCCGTGCAAGTTCAGTGACCACCATACCTCAGGGCTGCGACTCAGTATGAAATTGCACCGTGATGGAAAAAGAATTGCAACATATTCTTTTTAAATGATAAGGATCCAAAAGTCTTTCCCACTTCAAGCATCATAGGCCAGTTAAAAGGAGCGACTTCGTAAAAAGTTACGGTCCACCAAACGCTTGGAATAAGTACTAACCCCTCTCAGCTTTCTTAATGAGTTTTGGTAAGAAGCAAATGAGACTAATGATTTCAATGCTTAGGACCCAAGTCAGGGCAATTCTCAACGTGTTTTAAATCAATTTCACTAAAAGTGCTTAATTTTAAGTGTGTTTATTGGAAGGCATGATCGTCGTTTCCCTCTTTGATTACCACAGGACAGGAAATATGGAAAAAAGTCTTCTAAGGAACAGAACGAGCTGGGCCGGAGAGATAGTACAGGAGACCGGGAGCTTGCTTTGCTATTAGCTGCCTTCCCAGAGACCTTGGCACGAACACCTTGGGGTGTGTGCCTCCCGCTTCCCATCTCCCTGCATCCCCCCAAGAAACAAACAAAAAGGACCCTTTCTCTTTTGTCTGAAGAAAAACGAAAGGCTCTGAGACTCAGGCAGCCTCTTGATTTCCAACTTCCTGTAAAGAGAGGACTTTGGAAGATAAGCTCTAGCCAGCCAAGGGATCACTAAGGAAGGGATTGAATGACTAGAACCCCACCCTGTTTAACTTTTCTCCCTAGCAAGCAATTGCATGCTGCCTAACTGCATAATTAGATGCTAATGACACACAAGACAGAACACGCATGTAATACTTATGTTACAACACATGTTGGAGTTTAACACCACCCCTGTCTTGCTACTCATTTCCAACCCTTAAGAATATCACTTCCCTTAAGTTCTCTTACTCCTGGAGACCCATACCCCAATCTGGTGTGCATACATCTTAGATGAGTACTGTTTCTTAAATAAAAATTTCTGTGATTGTCTATATAGTCTTGTCCTTGAATTCCTTCTCAAAGCCAAAATGCTCGTAGGACCTCACTCTTGTGTCCTTTCCCCCAGCAACACTTTTTGATGCCCAAACCCAAGATTGTAACTTAGTCTCAAAACCAAATCCTTTTACTTCAGGAAAACAAAAATTCTGGTTCTTCAGATAAATGGGCACTTGCATATCTTTTTCTGGATAAAGAGAAAAAAAGCTTATCTTGTTCTATAAGCTATAAGCTTCACAGCTCCCCTGAAAGGTAAAGGTAAAGGTAAAGGCCCTCCCGTTGATCGTCGATTTGCTCGAGCGGGCCCAGTAACGTCTCCATTGGAGACTTTGTTGTTACTGTGTCTGGCATATCGAATACTCTCGGTAGCTTGCCGGGCTCTCCGAGAGGGGCGGAGGAATCGAACTCGGGTCGGCCATGTTGGCCGCGTGTAAGGCAAACGCCCTACCGCTGTGCTATCGCTCCAGCGGCAAGGGTTAATTTCCAAGCTGAGCAAATCCATTGAACTTGGGTGTAACCTGAAGAATGTGCAAGGTAATCTCAATCTGAATGCTGCCTCCCTTATTTTCCTTGAGATTAAAGGTGAGCAGTTGCTCTCTCTGGGACCTCCTCTGGTTCCATGATGACAGCACTTTATAGATGTCCAATAAATACTTCCTGTTGTCAAAAGATTAAATGATAATGACTCATAGATGTAATTTAGAAAAGAACTTTAAGTTAAATGAATGAAGAATGAGAGTTAACAGAGTTGTTAACCCAACTAGGAGAATCCATGAAAACTAGCCAGAAACCAGGTAGGTGTCTGGAATTTTGGTTATCCCGGGGTTTGGCAAAATAGATATTGGCTCATCACATCTAACTGGAACAGGCCAGGAGTGCCTGTAGCCTCAGGCACCTGGCTCCCACCAACGTGCTTCCATCTCTCATCTCAGCATCTTTCTGCTTTCTCAGACTCAATTTGCTAAACACATTGCTCCACGAATCTAGAAACTCTCTCAGCCTCTCGCTGGAATGATCCTCTTTCCTGAATTCCAATTTCATAAGATTCCAGGGAGGAACTATGACAGGTTGGTCTTGCCTCAGATGTGTGCCCGCACTGCGATTAGCACGATGGTCTGCAGACAGGATTAGAACCTGCAAGGAAGCCTGCTCCTGCAAGCAGCTTCGGGACATACTGAACCACAAATTCACATCCTGACCTCTAGAACGTGGTCAGGATGGGAATGTCAACAGAACACAGAAGAGAAGCAAGCTGGAGAGATCATGGCAGCAAGGAGTTGGCTGGACAGTGGCTTTCTGACTTTGATAGTCCTTTGACATGAGTTTGAAGCATACATTGTTAATGCTTGTCCTGCCTGAAGTACCATGTTTATTTTATATTTGGCTTTTGGGCCACATCTGGTGGTATTCAGGGCTTATTCCTGGTTGTGCTTTCAGGGATTACTCCTGATGCGACTCAGGGGATCATATGGTGTACTGGGGATGAACCTGAGTTGGCCTCATGCAAGGCAAATACCCTACCACTGTATTATCACTCTGGCCCCACCTTGATTATTTACGAAAAGTATCTTTAACAAAGCTAGTTTAGCTTGGGTAAAAATATATAGATGTGAAAAAAAACTTTTCAAGTTAAAAATCAAATTTAAAATAAAAAATCAATTAAAAATTAAAATTAAAAATAAAAATCAGAAATTTTCCTTTTTCTGCCTTTCTGTAGAATTATATATAAGACTTATATATAAGAATTATATATATAATATATATTTGCTTTTTGGGTCACACCTGGTGATGCTCAGGGTTTACTCCTGGCTCTCACTCAGGAATCACCCCTGGCGGTGCTCAGGGGACCATATGAGATGCTGGGAATTGAACCTGGGTCAGCTGAATGCAAGGCAAAGGCCCTACCTGCTGTGCTATTGCTCCAGCCCCCTGTAGAATTATACTTTTATCATTGATTTTATATATTGTGGGTAATGGTCCTTTGTCGGCTTTGTGTGTTGAAAACCGTATCATCTGGTTTTTCTTTTCACTGTTTCTCTGTTTTCTTGGAGTTTTTGTTTGTTTTGTTTTGTTTTGTTTGGGGGCTACAGCTGGCTGTGCTCGGTGGTTACTCTTGGCTCTGTTGTTATTGCAGTAGAATAATGGGAATTTATATACATTTTCTTATTGATGCCTAAATTATTATAAACATTTTGGCAAGCTACTGAGATTCAATATGCCAAACACAGTAACAAGAAGTCTCACAATGGAGACGTTACTGGGACCGCTCGAGCAAATCGATGAAAAACAGGAGGACAGTGTGTTTCATTTTGGAAATAATTTGATATCTAGGAAAGTTAGAGATAATATATCCAATGTTCACTGATAATTTAGCTTATGCCTATATTTTTAAGTTCAGGGAATTTGACATTAATATAAAAATATTTATTCACAAAGCTCAGGTGTCCAACAGCAAGAAAATAGGTTGTGTTATTTTTATGCATGAATACTATATATGTTACAATAAATGAATCTTAGATATGTATTCTGACAAATCTCATAAACATAAATGAAATAGTTTAAAGTTGAAAAAGAATCTCTATAATGACACAATATCAATATCTATTGCAAAGCTTAAAACTGTGCAACAATGTAACGTATTGTTTAAGGCTGGAAGTAAACAAGGCCAAATTCAGGAACATGATTTCCTCCCAGGGGTAGTGGAGAAAACAATAGGTGAGGGACAGAGCGGTATTTAACTCTTTGATATTGTTTCATAACTCAAGCTGGATGTAGAGTAAATGAATGGATAGTTTTTTCTTTCTTTATTAGTCGTCATTTTGTACATCTGTTTTATTCGTTAACTAGTTCTCTACTCACATGTTTTAGAGGTCTGCATTAACAGGTTTTGTTTTTGTTTTTTTAAAAACAAATAGAATGTACAAACGAATAGGGTATATTTGTAGTGACAATCCTGATAAAAGATAGAAACACTCCAGCAAATGAACTGTGGATTGTTACTTATTATTTATATATTTTCATTGAATAGGGCTGGAGCGATAGCACAGCGGGTAGGACGTTTGCCTTGCACGGGTCTGACCCAGGTTCGATTTCTCCATCCCTCTCAGAGAACCCGGCAAGCAACCAAGAGTATCCCGCCTGCATGGCAGAGCCTGGCAAGCTCCCCGTGGCGAATTCGATATGCCAAAAACATTAAGAACAAGTCTCACAGTGGAGACGTTCGTTACTGGTGCCCATTCAAGCAAATCAATGAACAATGGGAGAACAGTGTTACAGTGCTACAGTTGGCTACTCAAGTTGGTGTTTGATAATATGATCATATGACTGTTGGGGCAGTCATAACAGATGTTGATAATCTGTATACATTAATTGCATATATCATGCAATAACTGATGAGACTTGAAACTGAACATCGTGGAGTCATAGATTTTGGGAACAGGAAATAAACTTAGTTCATCTCATATTTAATATTTCATTTTACAAATGAGGATGCCTAGAACTAGAGCATTTTCACAATCTGACAGCCAGGACCAATTAGCTGAGTTACTGGTAGCCAATCCAGGTGCTAAAACTCAGATCCCATCATTACTAGTTCAGTAATTTTTTTCTTTACTGCTTGTACCAATGCTACTCTTACTAATAACAACTAGCATTGATTAAGTTGTTACCAAGTACCTCTGAGCTGAGTGTTTATATATGCATTCCTGGTTGTGTTTTCAGACTTCTGAGGGTTCTGGGCAGTCTAGTCACTTAATGTTTAATTTAT